ATTTTATTAAAAATTCCAGGAACTCATGAGTTTCTGGGTAGCCTATATGAATTTAAAGATAAAGACATATTCCATCTTCTGGAAATGCCTATGTGATAGGAACTACTTCTTGTTAATGAGCCAACAGCTATTCGGAAAGGAAAAACTATGGCTCCTCCCTTTGTGGTTCACTGTGGAAGAGCCACTCCAATTCTTTTTTATTGGGTGGCTGATTTCCAGATTTGTTTTTCTTACTCTTTCAGCTGCTGCCTCCTAAACCTCCTGCTTCCTTTGTGAACATGCACCCAGAACAGTCACAAGAACACGGGGTCTATTCCTTCTCGTGTTGGCAATAACGTCACTATTTGAAATTTGTATTTCCACATGGCTTTTTCTTTAATGTGTATGTACTTGAAGAACAGTCAGTGTAATATTTCTAATTGAAATTTGCCTTCCTTTCTAAAGGCCTGATCTTTTTTTTCTAATTAAAAAAGTAAGACATGTTAATTGAGAAAGGAGAAAACGAACGGCACTGAAAATCCCACTAGTTCAAAGTAACTACTCTTAGTATTTGGCATACTTAATGCCCTGTCATGCCACACATTCAGATGTGCAAGAAATATTGTTTTGCTTGTGCTTTTTTTTTTTTTTTCTTGGTAACTTCTTTTTACTTATGAATCTGAGTTTCCATTCTACCAGACTGGTAGACAAATGTGACTTTGATTCTTCCTTAAGTCCTCCGTCTCCTTTGACTTCTGTTATGGTTCCCGGATCATACAGACAGCATTAAGACACACGAAGTTTCATTGATTACTCAATAATTACTCCACACAGAATATTACCAAAGAGCACTCAGGGCCAATTATTTGTGTGATCATTGAAAAAGTCAGTAAGAGTAAGACTCATATACAATAATACGTATGAGAGGTCTTCAAAAGTTCATGGAAAATGAGTATTATGAAAAAATCATACAGGGATTCATTCATTTTTTACATCAAAATAAATTCATTCTAACTCATTATAATATGTCTGAATAGGATCTAGTGAGTGAAACTAAGAAGAATGAGACATCAGCTTGAGAAGATTCCCTATGAACAATAACAGGATTTCTGTTAAAATTGAAGCAAGAAAAAACATCACATTTATAGGTCAAACTTGGGAGGAAGAATGGTGAAATCACTGATGGTTTATGAGAAGTTTATGGAATCCATGCCATAAAGAAATGTGTAATTTACAATGGATAACTTATTTTCAGAAAAGACACATGATGTTGAAGACCATGATCACAGTGGAAAATATCCATAGAATTTGTGGGGAAAAGATGAACTTTCTTAGTGCCCTAACTGAAAAAAAAACAATGATTAATAGCAGAAACAATAGCCAACACTGTACAAATCTAAACTGGTTCAGCTTATGCAATTCTAACTAAAAAGTTAAAGTCGAGTACGATTCTTGCTTAGTATATAAAAAACAGTTGCACCCATATTAGCTGCAGACAAAGCAGAGCCTTCCATGGAAATTTTAAAGTGGTACTGAGATTCTGAAGCATTTCTTTGAATAATTGTAACATGGCTTTCCTAGTATGATTTTAAAAACAAGGCAGGATCAAAGCAATGGCTACCAAGAGTGGATATTGTGAATTCAGAGAGAAAGCAGATTGGTCACGAGCAAAGGTCATGACAGTTTTCTTGGGATGCTCAGTGCATTTACTTGTTGAGTTTCTGGAGTGCTAAAGAACAATAGTATCTGCTCATTATGAGAATGTTTTGAGAATGATGATGGACACTTTAGAGAAAAAGAAAAAAGAATAAGAAAGAAAGAAAGAAAACCAGAAAAGATTCACCGGGGAGTTTTCTACCATGCTATTGCTCTTGCTCATTCCTTTTATTTAAACAATGGCAGTTTTGCAAGGATTTTGATGGTATATCATTAAGCACCACCTTACTGTCTTGATTTGAATCCTTCTGACATTTTGCTTCCTAATCTTAAAAAATATATATATTTGAGTGGTGCTTAAGGTGCTGGACTCCACATGGCAGACTGTGGTTTGAGTCTCAGACCTCGCAGCTTGGAAATCATGTTGGGTGCACATGAGTGCAGTCTGAAATCCCAGGAAGAGAATAAAGGAGAATAGATTGCAGCATGATTATCCCCCTGGTGGATGGTTTCTTACTTTCCCTCTCACTGTGTTTCTCTGTCTCTCTCCGGTGAGCACACCAAAATCCTTAAAAAAAAATATGAAGGATATCTATTCTTCAGTTAATAATGTGAAAAAGACTTCATTGACATGATTAAATTTCCAGGACATTCACTTTTCTCAGGATGGACTAAATGCTGGTGTCACTTACAAAAGTGTCTAGAACTCAGCAGACCTTGTGTTGAGAAATAAAATTTACTTATATGTTTTCTTATTATCTTTTAATGCCATTGTCCATGAACTTGTTGAAGTCCCCTTTATATGTAACTAAAAACTTTTTACTTCTTTTTTTTTTTTTTTTCTTTTTTCTTTTTTAGAGGATTTTGCTATAGGGAGCATGTGCTGGCCAGAAAAGGAAGAGAGAACAGAGAGACAGAAAGCAAGAAATCACCCCCCTTCCCCCGGGGGGATGGCCACACCATGATCCCTTCTCCTCCATTCTCCTCTTGGGATATTGGGCATACACGCACATGCACCTGGTGTGAGTTTAAGCCACCGGGTCCAGGACTCAAACTGCAGTTGGTTACATGGGAGTCCAGTGACATAGCCATTATGCCAACCACTGGTCCTATCTATCTATCCATCTATCTATCTATCTATTTATCTATCTATCTATCTAACTATCTATCTATCTATCCATCTATCTATCTATCATCTATTTATTTATTTTTGCCCCGTAGGATGCATCGCTAGATAGCCACAGAGAGAGATAGAAAGGCAGAGTGGGAAATCATGCCCCCAGGGGAAATGGCCATGCCACAATTGCTTCTCCTGTATTCTCCTCTTAGGATTTTGGGCATGTATGCCTGGTACGATTTTCTTTTCTTTTCTTTTTTTATGTTTTTCAGATTAATTTTTTATTGTTCTTATTTTTTAAAAAATATTCCATCACTATACATCATTTGGCTTATAAATATAATTTACCCAATATCAAATACTTCTCTGACCAATCCAGTTGAGAATACTATACATGTTATCATCAACAGGTAATAAACCATTTCTGTGTCCCACCCAGGTATGATTTTCAAGTTGCTTCAAGCCGCCAGATCTGAGACTTGAAACTACAGTCTGCCATGTGGGAATCTATCCCATTAACCACAATATCACCTGCTGGCCCCAATTCACACCTTAACAGATAACAAAACAAAATACATAAAAGCATTTAATAACATCTTTACATGGGACTAAGGCTTTTCCTATAACTATGTTTATCCTTGAAGGGATTTTCATGTATTTTTCCCTGTGTTGTCTATAATTTTCAAGCACTTTTTACCTAAATATAAGAAAACTTAAAGATGCATGTATTTTGAGTGAGAATTTTCAGTTTTTGTATTATTCCACAGCTATTTATCAACTCTGCATAATTCTATAGCAGATTTTTCTTAAAATACCCTCACCTTTATTTAATCTTTCCAAGCATCAGCTTTGTTTTTGTAGAATACCACTTTCTTTTCACACTGTAATTATATTAGTTTATATCAAATTTAATTAAATTATTTAATTATGACAGTAAGTTCAAGTGGCATAAAGAGGTTCTTGCTCATTTGATGTAACTAAATCTTAGTATGCAAACAGTTCATCTGGTGAGAGAAGTGTTGAGCTTAACAACCTTAGGCACTACTATATGAGGGAATTCAATGACTAATACATATGAAAATAATATAGTATGGGTTAATATGATAAGTTGGTTAAATAAAGGTCACCTAACAAAATTTTATTACAAATATTGTTTGCTATTCTATTGTATAGTTCTCACTAACTGACTTACTGCTTTATAGAATTCTGCTTTCTTCATTTAATATCATACTATATAGATACACATATCCCTCATGCTGAAATAGTATTCAGAAACCTGATTTCTAATACATTTATGAGATTTCCTGTAACAGTTGTCCTAAACACAATTTAACCATTCCATTACTGGGTGAAATTCAAACTTTTTCACTAATGACAACTTTCTCATTATTGTTAGGATAATTTTTAGAAGTGTAATTACTAAAGAAAGTAGAATGCATATTTCCAAATATTCTTTTTTTTTTTTTGAGAGATTTTTGCTATAGGGTACGTGTGCTCACCAGAAACACAGAGGGAGACAGAGAGACAGAAAGTGAGAACTCACCCCAGGAGAGATGGCCATGTCACAATTCCTTCTCCTCCATTCTCCTCTTGGGATCTTGGGCATGCACATACATGCGCCCAGCATGATATTAAGCCATCAGGTCGAGGACTCGAACCATGGTTGACTACATGGGAGTCCAGCGACATAGCCATTATGCCATTTGCTAGTTCCTACAAATATTCTTAATACATATTTTGAAATTATTCTCAAGCAAGTACTCACATTTAGGGGCAGAGAGTGCATTTATGAAACCCTTGCTCAGGTATTACTGTTTTGTACATCTTTTAGAATTTGATAAGAAAACATTTCTCTTATAATTTTTTTCTTTTTTAGATTTCTGCCATAGGGCACTCATGCTCCCAGAAGAGAGACAGAGAGGCAGAGAAAGAGAGAAAAGGAAAGTGAGAAATTGGCCCCCACCCCCAGGGAGGATGACCACACTGTAATCCTTTCTCTTCCATTCTCCTCTCAGGATCTTGGGCACGCATACACACACGCCTGTGATTTTCAGGCCTCTGGATCTGGGACTCCAAACACAGAGTCAGCCATGTGAGATCTAGCACCTTAAGCATCATGCCTCCCTTGACCCATATTTCTCTTATAATATCTAATTTTTAAAAATTAAGTATTATTAAGGTAAGCCTTTTCTGTCCTCTTCATTTCTGGCTGCTGGCTGTGCTGTTGGGGCCCTCCGTGCTCCCCGCCATGCCTCGGAAAATTGAGAAAATCAAAGACTTTATGCTAACAGCCAAACGAAAGGATGCCAAATCTATCAAGATCAAGAAAAATAAGGATGATATGAAGTTTAAAGTTCGATGCAGCAGATATGTTCACACCTTATTCATCAAAAAGAGAAGGCAGATTCTGGGTATTTACCCAAAAGACAGGAGAAAGCTCAGTCAGAAAAGTGCTTGCACATCAATGTTTATTGCAGCATTATTCACAATTGCCAAGACATGGAACCAACCTAAATGTCCACAAACTGATGAATGGATTGGAAAAGTGTGGTATATATACTCTATGGAATACTACTCAGCCATAAAAAATAACAAGACCCTGGCATTTGATAGAAAGTGGTCAGATATGGAGGATCTATTGCTGAGTGAAGTAAGCCAGGCTATGAAAGAAAGATATTGTACGTATCCACTCAATATATACCGACTATCCACACTCTATGGTAGAGAGCAAGAAATTGGAGGACATAAAAGCAGTGAAGGTACTTAATGAGAATAGGACAGTGTGGAATGGGGGAGGTGAAGAGAAGAGGATAGAGAAAGATAGCAAGAGAACAACAGAGAACAGAGAGGCAGGACATTAGTGAGAGACAGATATGGCTTATTAACTGTTGATGACATATATAGTATTCTCAACTGGATTGGTCTGAGAAGTACTTCATGATGGGCAAAGTCTTTTCACAAGCAAAATGAGAAATAGCGATTGACTGTTTTTAAAAAATAATTAGAATAATAATAATAATGATTGAGGAAAACAGAAAAGATATTGAATGATGAAGTGGGGAGATTAATGTCTCTGTATTGACTGACATGCATGGCATTCCCTTTTGAGAAAGCAATGTAATACACTGTAAAGTTATATGTAATCCAATGTAATATAAAGAAGATTATGATGATAAAAAAAAGGCATATGAGCAAAAAACAAAAAGAAGTCAGAGAAGCTGAAGCACTCCCTGCCCCCAGGTTTGGTGGTGAAGGAGCCAAAATGAACCAGATGCTGTTTGAATTACATAGAACATGTTTAAAATTTAAAAAAAAAAAATGAAAAAATAAAAAACACTGGGCATTTATTTGAGGGTTTCTAAATGACAAATACAATTTCTTTAATAGTTATAGGTCTGTTCACATTACATATCCTTTAATCTCTTCAGGGTCTTGAATGTCATGTTCTTGCTTCATTCTTGATGTTAGGAACTTGGACCTCCTCTCTGTTTTTTTTGTCAGTCTTGCTAGAGGTCTGCCAATTTTATTGATCTTTTAAAAAAATCAGCTCTTCTATTGATTTTATCTGTGTTTTCTTCTTTTCACATTCATTAATTTCCTTTCTTATTTACTGCAGGCATATCTCAGAGATTTTTTTGTTCTGGTCTCCAAGTGGAACTTTTTATACTTTTTATTTTTAAGTTTGAAACATTACATTTAATTACTGTACATCTTTATACAGTATGACATGGTTTTAACCCAGTATAAATACAATACATATTAGTCAAGTCAAAGATATTACCATATATAATATCATTAACAGATAACTTTTCATTTTTGTGTCTATTATATGTGCTGTCTGTTTCGTTTTTTTCCCTGATACCCTCCTGCCCACCCCCTGTTCCTCACCCCTTCCTATACTGTCTGTAGTTTCTACAGTTGCTCTCCCTGCAATTGTGTTTTTCAATCTTTCCGTTTCTGCTATAAAGTGCAAACATTCAGTACACATTGAGCTGAGATATTGAATGCCTATCTTTTAATATGGCTTGCATCACTTAGCATTAAATTTTCCATATTCATCCATTTTGTATCAAATGTCAACATCTCTGTTTTTTTTCTTTTCTTTTTTTTTCTTTTCTTTTCTTTTTTTTTCTTTTCTTTTTTAATCACTGAGTAGTATTCCATAGAGTACATGTGCCACATTTTCTCATCTCTTCTTGGACATTTGGACTGATTACATGTTCTAGTAATTGTGAATAATGCTGCAATAAACATGAATATACAGTGTTTTCCTGACTGAAAGTTTTCCTATCCTTTAAGTAACTAAGAGTGGAAAAACTGAGTCATATGGTAGTTCTATTTGTAGATTTCTGACTAACCTCAATATCATTCTCTACAATGGTTGTATTAATGTACATTTCTACCAACAGTGTAGGAAAGTTAACCTTTTACCACAGCCTCACCAGCATTTATCATTCTTTTTTTTTTTGGAGAGGTTTTTGCTATAGGGCGTGTGCGCTTGCCAGACAGAGAGGGACAGAGAGACAGAAAGTGAGAAATCATCCCCCAGCGGGGATGGTCACGCCGCAATCCCTTCTCCTCCATTCTCCTCTCGGGATCTTGGGCACACACGCACACGCACTCGGAGTGAGTTTAAGTCATCGGGTCCGGGACTCGAATCGCGGTCAACTGCGTGGGAGTCCAGCGACATAGCATTATGCTAACTCATTCTTTCTTTTTTTAATCATAACCATTCTGACTGAGATTAAGTGGCATCTCATTGTGGGTTTGATTTGCATTTCCCTTATGTAAGAGATATTGAGCATGTATTGAAATGCATTTTGGCTATTTTTATGTCTTCTTGGGAGAGTTGTCTGTTAAGCTCATTTGCCCATCTTTTAATTGGATTGATTTTTTTTGTGGGAGTGGGTAAGCTGCTTGAATTCTGGTTATCAGTCCCCTACCTGAGGAATACAGGGTATTTTGTGGCTGCTGGTTGAACTGTCCAGTCCATTTAGTTTATTGTATCATTTAGATTTTGTATATCTGTTTATTTTTGGTCTAGATGATCTGTCCAGAGGTGATAGTGAGGGTACTGAGATCCCCTACAATTAAGTATTGTAGTCTATTTCTCCCTTGAGATTTAACAAGTCCTCTTTGATGTATTTAGGTGCTCCAGTGTTAGGTGCCTAAATATTTACAAGTGTTATATCTTCCTGTTGAACAAGTCCTTTCAATATTGTATAATATCCTTTGTCCTTTCTTTTATCTTTCGTCTTAAAGTCTATTTTGTCTGATCTCAATATCACAACTCCAGACTTTCATTGATTTCCATTTGCATGGAATATCTTTTTTCAGATCTTCACTTTCAGTCTATGTATGTCCTTATCAGTGAGGTGTGTTTCTTGTAAGCAGCATATAGATAACTTCTGCTTTTCCATCCATTCAGTCTGTCTGTGTCTTTTAATGTCAGAATTAACCCATTAACATTCAGTGTTATTATTGATAATTGTGGTTTTATCCTTGCCATTTTGTTAGCTATTTTATTGATTGTTTTCATTCTCTTATTTCTGTTTGTCCTTCTTTCATTTTCCTTGTATAGTACTTCCTTCAGTAGTTCTTGAAGAGCTGGTCTAGTATTAATGAATTCTTTAATATTTTTTTATCTGAGAATGATCTTATTTGTTTTTGCCATTTGAAGTATAATCTTGCTGGTACTGTATTTTGGTTGGAATTATTTTTCTTTTGATATTTTGAATATCTCTTTTCATTTTTTCCATGCTTGTACTAGGTGAGAAGTCTGATGTTAGCTTAATAGGATAACTTTTGTAAGTAACTTGACGTTTCTCTCTAATCAATTTTAGAATCTTAACTTTGTCTTTGATTTTTACCAATCTGGCTATGATGTACTGGGGAATGGGTCATTTTATGTTGATTCTATTTGGGGTTCTTTTTTACTCATGTTTTTGAATTTCTCCATGTTTCTTTAGATTTAGAAAGTTTTCAGCTAGTATTTCATGAAAAGCTTTTCCATGCCTTTACCAGCTTCTTCACCTTATGGATTATCCAGTATGTGGGTATTTGGACAATTCATGATGTCTAGAATTTACTGTATGTTATCCTCTTTTTTTGGGGTTGTTTTTTATCCTTTTTATGTTTTTTTTTTTTTTGAGAGGTTTTTGCTATAGGGCACGTGCGCTCTCTAGACAGACAGAGGGAGATAGAGAGACAGAAAGTGAGAAATCACCCCCCGGAGGGATGGCCATGCCACAATCCCTTCTACTCCATTCTCCTCTCGGGATCTTGGACACACACGCACACGCGCCCGGCGTGAGTTTTAAGCTACCGGGTCTGGGACGCAAACCATGGTCAACTACATGGGAGTCCGTTACGCTAACTGCTGGTCCCCGTCATTTTTTATTCTTTTTGATGGTTGGGCTTCATTGGACACTTTGTCTTCAAGGTGACAAATTTCTTCTGCGTGATCCAATCTGCCACTTATGCTTTTGAGAGAGATTTTAATTTCTTATATTATATTCATCATTTCCAATAGTTCTGTTTAAATTTTTTTAGGTTTTTAGTATATTCATGTCATTCCTCCTTCATGTCCTGGAATGATCTTTTCATTTCCTGTAATTGATTTTCAATTCCTGGGCACCATGGATACTATGTAGAGTATGGATTTTGTTAGTTTAATCTGGTGATGATTGTTTTCATTTTTGTATCTGATAACTTTCTGGACTCTACTAGAATTAAAAAATGGACTTCCAGTGTAGCAGATCTAGTCTGTTCAGACACTCCACTTAGTTGGACTGCTTATATACTGTTCCTCACATGCTGCCTCTGCCTGCTCTTCTCTTTTTCGTACTTTCCTCCTGCTCCTCTCTTCCTCCTTTCCTCTTCCTTCACCTTTTCTTTCAGCTCTTTTCTTTTTCTCTGAACTGAATTGAAAGTACTTTATTTGATGAGACATAGTTTGTAATGTGAGAGGCAAGGATGGAAAACCTTGACCAGATTCTCTGCAGCAAAATGCCAGAAGTGAGGGACCAAAAGAGAGAGAGCTAGTAAGAGAGGAAGATGCACTTTATCACTGTACTTTAAGGATTTCTTTTAGTATCTGTGTGATATAATTTGCAATTATTATGACAAAGTTTTCTTTTTTTAAGATTTATATTATTTAACTTTATTTATGTATTTATTTTAATTTGACCAGAAAGGGACAGAGTGAGAGAGAGAGAAAGAGAGAGGGAAAGTGAGAAAACAAGCTGCCAGGTCCAGGACTCAAATCATGGTAGGCCATGTGGGAGTCTAGTGCCCTTAATCACCATGCCCGATGCCAGCCCCCAAATTTTTCTTTTATTCATTACAGAGTGCATGTGCATGAACATGAGAGAGAAAAAGAGTGAAAAAGTACCTTCCACAGGGTCTAGTCATGCCAACAATCTCCTTCCTCTAGTCATTTAGCTTTTCGGATCTTAGGTGCTCATGAATGTGCCCAGGGTGTTTGAGGATGGCAGGCGTAGGGATCTGAAATATGGTTGCCATGTGAGATCTGGCTTTTCTTTAGCATTACATTACTGCTGAGCCACAGAGAGGGCCCCCACAAAATTGTTATTATTTTAATGTTTCTTTTTCTTTAATTAGTATATACTCCTTTTTTTACTGTTTTTAAGATTTTCATTAGTTTTAAGATTGGCTTATAACCTGGTGGTTGAAGAAGCCATCCCGCATGGCTGATTGCAGTTTGAATCCCAGCCCTAAGGACTTGAAAAACAAGCCAGTCATGTGTACCTGCATGCCCCAAATCTTGACAGAATGAAGAAACGGAGGAGTTGCACTGTGACCATGCTCCATTGGGGTACTTTCTCCCTCTATTTGTCTCTCTCTGTCTCTCTCTTGAGAACACATTCACTCTCTGGCAATTAAAAAAAATTTTTCATTTATTTTCAGAAAGTTGTTTATGGTATAAATTGCTGTAGGTTTTTTTTTTTATTGGTCATATTTCTTCTACTTGGATTTCTTTGTACTTTCTTAAATTTGTGCATTTGTAACTTTCAATAAATTCAGAAGACTTTTGCCACTGTTAATTTAAAGATTTTTTTCCTAGTTCTCCCTCATTCCCATGTGAGTTTCTGTCTACACGTATTCTCAGTCTTTAGATGTTGCCCTGAAGCTCACTGATGCTCTGCTGATATTAACAGTATTTTTTCTTTTAGTGTTCTATTTTTAATCATTATATAATGTTTCTTTCGGAAATATCAAATCTTTCTGATCTCATCCATTATAT